GAATAAATACCATATAAACAAACATGGGACTGTGGGACATGTAACCTTCATGGAATATACGGATTCATGAAATGCAGCCATGCATGCTTACATCCATACATGCAGCCATCTACTTACCTATCCACCCAACCATCCATCCACCCACTCATTAATCTATCCATACATACATGCAAACGCACACACACTAAACACAAACATATCAGTGTCACAGAACCCGCGAAGGACTTCCCCAAGGCGACAATTCATCCGTGAGCGAAGAATAAAAGCGCCGGCACAGCCTTTGTTGTCGGATTGTTACTCTGATTTGCCGCCGGTGCATGACGCGCTTCAATGAACAGGCTCACATATATACTGTAGGTGATACAGACACATGCAGACTGTGCTTCAATGAACAGGCTCACATATATACTGTAGGTGATACAGACACATGCAGACTGTGCTTCAATGAACAGGCTCACATATATACTGTAGGTGATACAGACACATGCAGACTGTGCTTCAATGAACAGGCTCACATATATACTGTAGGTGATACACACACATGCAGACTGTGCTTCAATGAACAGGCTCACATATATACTGTAGGTGATACAGACACATGCAGACTGTGCTTTGGGTTACTGTTTAGTCACAATATTCTAAACAATACAGAAGCGCACGTGAATTCGAACATCTATACGTGCGCACACACATATACATGTTCATGTTAGCACATAAGGACCCAGATGCACGTGTGAGCGCACATACATATGCTAGCACACACGAACGCACATGCACGTGCTAACACATACGAACGCACATGCATGTGCTAGCACACGAACGCGCATGCTAGCATATACACATGCTATCACAAAGGAGCGCACATGCACGTGCTAGCACACACACACATGCTAGCCTAGCACATAGGAACGCACATGCTAACACATACGAACGCAAATGCACGTGCTAGCACACACGTGATAGACACATAAAACGCACATGTATACGTGATAGCGCACAGACATGCTAGCACATGCATATGCTAGCACACACGAACGCACATACACGTGCTAGCAAACACAAACGCACAGAGAAACATATGGGAACGTGTCATCTGCGCAGACATCACGCAAGGCTCATACTGGCCTGCAGCAGTAACTGTTCGACCATCACGCAAGGCTCATACTGGCCTGCAGCAGTAACTGTTCGACAGACACCAACACCCTGACCTACATACACACATATAGAAAGAGAGACACACAGAGATAGACAGACACATACAATCCCACAGAGATATAAGGACACATATTTAGAGAGACATACAGAGAGACAGTGACAGACAGGTAGGTAGGCAGGCAAGCAGATAGATAGGCAGGGACCGGCCAATAGACAGGACATATAGACAGACAGGCAGATAGACAGACAGACCGTCAGACAGACAGACAAAGAGACAGACAGAAAGAGATATAGATAGATAGGACACACAGACAGACAGACAGACAGACGGACGGACAGACGGACGGACGGACGGACGGACGGACGGACGGACGGACGGACGGACGGACGGACGGACGGACGGACAGACAGACAGACAGACAGACAGACAGACAGACAGACAGACAGACAGACAGACAGACAGACAGACAGACAGACAGACAGACAGACAGACAGACAGACAGACAGACAGACAGACAGACAGACAGATAGATAGATAGATAGATAGATAGATAGATAGATAGATAGATAGATAGATTTTGAGTTCTGCGTGCATATCCATGTTAAGATATGGCTTTTTTATGCAGACTGTTGGTTTCTCGCCTCTGGGACGGATGCGCTCTGACTTGGAAGGAAACATGACAGTTAGTCACATCATACGGTTTGCCTGTTATGGTGTAGCTGGTCTATTCCCCCAAAAAGTACTCACCCCCCCCCCTTTTTTTCCCATTACGAAGAGAACTGATTGCCCAGCTCAGAAAGAGACCATCTACATTATTTGCTTATATGATAAGAAGGAGAAAACTGGAGTACATCGTGACGGTAGACAGTTGGAGGAGAGGAGAGGCAGAGGAGGACCGAGAGGACAGATGCTGGACAGTTTGACATTGTGGCATGGAAGACTATCTGTGTCAGAGTTGACTGAAAGTACACGCGACAGAGGGTTGTGGATAGACATGACTACCAACGCCACACGGCAAGAGCTCTGAGAAGAAGAAACGTTGTGCCTTCTTGGACATCCGAACCACGTTGATATTACAGATCACCACCAGCTCACAAACAGCCCGGCCGGTTGCTGCAGAAGATTCCTCATCTAGAGAGGCCAGTGTTAGGCTGGCTACTTTATGTAAATATATGCAGATTTGGAACACGTGACGGAAACGTCACGGACGGGCGAATCTGCTTGGGTGATGTGGACAAGGTTGGTTGCGAAGGTTGTCCTCTAGATGCGGGTCTGATCAGCAATCTTAGGTGGCTGGCTTTTTTTTTTTTTTTTAATATGCTCCATTTTCGGTGGTCATACAAATTCAATAAAAACTGTTAATTTAGCTGTCAGAATGAAGGAGTCAATGAACTGAGGAAAAAAAAAGAAGGAAGGGAGAAAGCGAAAAATGGAGAGAACAAATATGAAAAGAAAGAGGTCTACAAACCAATTAGGGAAGAGAAAAGATTGATAGCAAAGATCTGTAATAAGCGCGCGCGCGCACACACACACACAACTGGCCTTTCCTCTGCTTCTGCTTCGACATATGCGTTCTCATTTAAACGGCGGTTGGACCACTGTAATGTGGTTTACAACTAGGCTGTGATAACAGCACCTTACACGTCTAGTTTCATTAAGACTTTATTGGTCGCTCCCCCCCCCCGGCCACACCCCCCCCCCCCCCGCCTTCCGATCGCCTGTAACGGGACAAAGAGCTTCCCGTTAACCACGTCGGGACATTTTGAAAGCATTTATTTACAAATTTCTTGAATGAGTTTGACTCCCAGGTCGACCCAGCCTTGAGTTGGTACCAGACGCAATCCTGGAAAGTAAAGGCGGCCGGCGTGAGGCTGACCACATCAACCACCCAGTGCTGATTGGTCTACCAAATAAAGGTCTAGCCCTATATGTTCAATATGACCAGTAAAGGCGTGGTAAAATGTTCTGTACTTTTACTTTACTGACTTTCATAGTATTTCAGGTGTATTATAATATTTATTTGCCATTCGGTGATTAAAAATTAATATTAATAATGACAATATTAATAATAATATGCCAGATGGTACAATAAATTGAAAAAATATACTTGAAGTAACATGAAATGTATACTATTCAAGCTTTAATCAATCTTGCGTATACAAAGGGAATGAAGATATCGTGGTCTGAGAGGGGGGAAGAGGGAGCGACACTGAGCCTTTTACCCCCCCCCCCTTTTTTTTTTCCCTCCCAATGTTTTCTTAGTTTATCAGGGGTTGCGAAATGGTGCTGAAAGAAAAGTATGAGCGTCTCCCAGCACAAAATGTTTTCTTGGTGGCGGTATCCCTGCTTTCCTCTGATGGTAGATCTCCATATGTATGTAGGTATATATGTAGGTATATAGGTATATATGTAGGTATATAGGTATATAGGTAGGTATATAGGTAGGTATATAGGTAGGTATATAGGTATGTATATAGGTAGGTATATAGGTATGTATGTATGTATGTATGTATGTATGTATGTATGTATGTATGTATGTATGTATGTATGTATGTATGTATGTAGGTAGGTATGTAGGCAGGTATGTAGGTAGGTATGTAGGCAGGTGGACATCACACACAGCGATAAACACCTGGTGACACAAAGTGCCATCATGCGAATGAGGACCACTCGTGGAGAGGTCCCGAGAACCCCGTTCAGCCGTTAGGCCACATTTCAGGCCCGGCTTTTTTTAGCCCCCCCCCCCCCCTCCCCGGCAAAATCCAGGGTGGGGCTTCAAAATGGCTAAAAATTGCATTCCACAAAGGGATGACAAGACTTATCTCTCTTAGTTCTCTTCCTCTCCAATGTGTCTGCTGTCGCATGTAATACCTGAGACACATACTAAAATGAATCTTATCTCAGAAATTAAAATAAACTGGCCACAAATACCTCCAAGGCGGACTGGAAATAACAGTAGCAGAAGATATGGTACCAGGAAAGAGGGGCAGGCACCAACCAGCACGAAGATGGGCACAGGATATAAGTGACACCTTGTGTAGGACAGTGCAAGACGTCAGAGATCTGGCGAGAGACCGAGTTCCTTTCAGGAAGATCATGATAAGAGCGACGTTCTGCAAAGGACCTGCTATGTGATGTTACAACAATAACGACCATATTAACAATAACCGCAACAACAATGACAATAACCACAGCCAACAAAAAAAAAAAAAAACAATAACACAATTAGAACAATGTCACCAACAACAAAAACAATACAACAATCATAACAAACAAACAAAAAAAAAATAATACCACAATCATAACAATTACAACAAAAACGAAAACAATAACACTACTGACAACAACAATACCCATAATAACGAAAACAATAACGACCATGATAATAAGGGCGATCAGAACAATATCAACAACAATACCGACGATAAAAATAACAATACCGACAACAACAACAACACCGACAACAAAAGCAATAGCGAAAACAATACTAACGAAGACGATCATAACAATAAGAACGATTCTACCAACAACAATAGCGACAACAACAATAAAAAATACGATAATATCAATATTGAGGGCGATCATAACAATAACGACCAGAAAGTAAACAATAACACACACACACACACAATGATAACAATAACGTGGCATTAATAGTAAGATCTAGGACAACATTATTGCGACAACAACAAAAACGCAAATGACAATATAACAATGTGACAATAACAACAACAATAGCAACGCGAATGACAAACACACACACACACACACACACACAAAACATCGACAACAATTCACTCTCCCGGAGGACTGTTTAAAAAATAAACACCACAAAAGCACTTACCGTAAAGATGTGATAGGCAGGGTATCCGTGGCTTCTGAAGAAAAGAGCTCCCTCTGTTGAATGGAGGTGTCGTGGATGAAATCCTCGCCGTTTTTTCCTGCAAGGCACACAAGATTAAGATCATCAGTGAGCAAAGAGTCGTGGGGGAGATGAGATGGGATATACCGAGTTTTTTCTACAAGGCACACAAGAAGAAGATCATAGGTGAGCAAAGAGTCGTGGGGAGAGGAGAAGGGATATACCCATTGTTTTCCTGCAAGCACCCCGAAACGTCCTGGCCAACGGGGCTCTGGTGAAGTTGCGACAGGCCTAGCAAGCCGGCAATGGATTTTTTACCGCTACAGAAATCAAAATGAGATATAAACGGACTGATCAAACGGTATCTGACCATGGCAATGTTAAGGGACTACGAGACAGAACAGCGAAATACAAGATTGCAAGCTGGCAGAAGAACAGATAGGATTTAGGAGAAATAGAAGCTGCACAGATGCAATCTTCACACTTAAACAGTTAATAAGAAAAGAACATTGAATACAATAAGAACTTATTTGTGGCATTCGTAGACCAGGAAAAGGCATCTGACAGAGTCGACAGACAATTACTATGGAAAATAATGGCAAGATATGAGTAAGGAAACACCTCATCGAAGTGTGCAAAAGTTTATACACGGATTGTAGAAGTGTAGTTAGTATAAATCAGGGACATCTCATCCTTTCACAGTGACATCTGGAGTAAGACAGGGGTGTGTCTTATCACCACTGCTGTTTATCACCTACATCGACTGTATATGCCAGAATGCCAAGCCCATGAATGAAGATCGTAGTAAGATCAACGAATTACTCTTTGCAGATGACCAGGCCTTGATAGCAGATACAGCCATGAAATTGCAACAACATCTAACATCCATGAATGAAGAATGTAAAACAAATAATATGAGAATCAACACTGAAAAGATAGAAGTAATGCCAATAGGAAAAAAGAAGACAGATCTAAACATAGCAATAGAATACAGAGACATTTAACAGGCATCTGAGTTTAAATATCTGGGAACTACATTTACCGAAGATGGGAAATTGGATAAAGAAATTGACATTAGATGCAGTAAAGCATACCAAGTATTGGGACAGCTAGCCCCCCTCTTACAGCATAAGACAATCCCAATCAGCACAAAGAGACATCTTATTCAAAGCATATTTATTCCAACTCTGTGCTACCAGTCCCAGACATGGTCACTCACAACAAACCATAAAAGAAAATTAGTAACCACGGAAATGAGATGTCTGAGAAGGGCTGTAGGAGTGTCCATAAGAGATAAGATCAGGAATGAGATCATAAGAGAACACATCGGCACAAAACCAATTCTGGATTACGTACAAAGACAGCAAGTGAAATGGTTTGCCCACTTAGAGAGAATGCCTTGTGACACCATACTATACAAAGCATACATGGGAAGAGAAGACGGACGTAGAGCACGGGGTAGAAGACCAAGAACAAGAAGGAAAGATAACATCAGAAAAACTCTACAACAGCACGATGTGCCTATGGTCGAGGCAGCCAGAAGAGCTATAAAAAGAACCTTATATTTCCCTCGACACCCACAGCGGTAAAAGAGGAAGTGAAGAAGAAGAAGAAGAAGAAGAAGAAGAAGAAGAAGAAGAAGAAGAAGAAGAAGAAGAAGAAGAAGAAGAAGAAGAAGAAGAAGAAGAAGAAGAAGAAGAAGAAGAAGAAGACACAGAAGAAATCATCAGTGAGGAGAGAGACGTAGGGAGATGAAATGGATACACCAAGTGAAAAACATGCACATGTGCAGGCGAACCGATAATTAGACAGATAAGGCAGACAGACAGATAAGCTGCCAAAATGAGATAGAAGGCAGAGGGGGGTAAATAGAAAGACAAGGCAGACAGACAGATAAGCTGCCAGAATGAGATAGAAGGCAGACAGAGAGACATACGTCATTTTTCTTCTTGCAAGCAGACAGAAGAAATCGTGGGTGAGGAGAGGATCACGAGGAGATGAGATAAAATAGGATGTACCAAGTGAAAGGCAGACGAATGCATAAAAAGACAGATGAGGCAGGCAGACAGACAGAGAAAGATAAACAATCTGACGGACAGACGTGTGTAGAAAGACATATGAGTGAATGTAACTGAAACGAATGAAGAAAATAATAAACAGAAAAACAGACAAAAAAGAAAGAACAAACGAAACTTTATTTACAAACAGTTAAGAATTAGGCAGGCGTCTTGTAAACTACCCTTACAATCTGTTTACTTTCCTACATAATTTGATTCATAAATCTACCAACAAGTAATTGTAAACATTAACCCCGGCAGGTTAACATCAATTACACTGGAATATGCTTGAATTACACCTACATTTCTAGCCACAGTAAACTATAGTAATTGTAGTAAATCTAAGAAAAAAAAATACGCTATTACGAACAGACATATTCCCCGTGTGTGTTCAGGGGCCCTATTATAGGGAAAACAAGAATAGACCCACTGCCTACCCAAAAGTATGTCGTAAGAGTCGACTAATTATGAGCTTCCTTCAGTCGGAGTACATCTGCCTGAGAGGCAAGGAACCAACAGTCTGCATACAAATTGGTCAGATCTGTCACACGGATGCACACGCAACACTCAAGTTCTGGAACAGGACTGCAGTTCAGAAGTGGGCGAACAGCCAGAACTTTCCGCCGGAGTTTACAGTTGGTGAACGCGAAGAAGAAGAAGAAGAACAGACATACAGAGAGAAACTAAAACAGTAGAATGGAATGTTAAAGAGACAGACAAAACAATGAAATGATTCTCAAAACGGCAAACAAAGACGAAAAGTAAGTGAAATAAGAAAGCAGCGGCGTATCGTCATGTGGAAAGCAGCGGCGTATCGTCAGTGTGAAACCGACACAGAAATGAGAGGACAGACAACGTTAACATGGAAATGGTATTCGCCAGTTGGCCTGACACTCACACATGATGACAACATGCTGTAATCTCACACACGATGACAACATGCTGTAATCTCACATATATGATGACAACATGCTGTCATGACAACTGAGCCGTGTCATTTGTGTCTGACAGTACGGTCATCATGTTTTAGTGTTGTGTGTGTGTGTGTGTGCGCGCGCGCGCGCAGAATACAAAGATTTGGGTGATTATATTATAGTTGTGTGCGCGAGTAAAAGACAGACAGTGGTGGAAGTTTTTTAAAAATGTGTGTGTGTATGTGTGTGTGAATGAAAGACAGTGGTGGTTTTAGTTTGTGTGTGTGTGTGTGTGTGTGTGTGTGTGTGAAAGACAGACAGGCAGTAGTGGAAACGTTTGTTCGTTTGTGTGTGTGTGTGTGTGTGTGTGAGAGAGAGAGAGAGAGAGAGAGAGAGAAGAGAGAGAGAGAGAGAGAGAGAGAGAGAAGAGAGCAGAAAAAGTGTGAGTGAGAGAAAAAGATAATGTGAAAAAGTGTGTGCGTATGAAAGTGTGAGTGCAAGAAGAGAGAGAGAGAGAGAGAGAGAGAGAGAGAGAGAGAGAGAGAGAGAGAGAGAGAAGAGAGAGCGCAAGGGAAGAGGAGAAGGAGATGGAGAGAAAGAAAATTGTGAGGACACAAGAGGTGGGGTGGTTAAAAGAGAGAGAGAGAGAGAGAGAGAGAGAGACAGAGAGAGAGAGAGAGAGAGAGAGTGTGAGTGTGTGTGTGTGTGTGTGAAAGAGTGTGCTTGAGAGAAATAAATAACTTTTAGTTAGCGATACCACGAAACATGAGTGGTTAAAATATTATTACTGGTTAAACAACAACTAAATCATGTGAACATAAACAATACATTGCACAATTTATTGCCGGGCATATTTCGCTGTATCTTGTCAGGCTCATTACTACAGAGTTAAATCAACATATATACAGCACAAAATGAACTCTTTTCATTGAAATACATAAATCGCAATATCAAGTTAGGCTGTACATTTCTCCACCGGAAATTTAAGATTAGTCGTGTGATTACCGTGGTAACGTAACATTTATCATGTGCTCTTTTTTTGCTTACATAACATAACAGAGTTCCGTTCTATTGATACGGCTTCGGCCAGTCTCAACAAATGTTTATTAAATGTGTGGTAAGTCATTCTGAAGGCACAATCAATATCAACTATGCATCCGGAATCAAGCAAATGAAGTCCTATCGAAGAACTGTGTTCTCTAACGTCTACCTGTGATAAAATAAAGGAACATCGTCATGTTATCTTTGGAACCTACCAATCAAATACCTTTCTTAAATGTTTGTGTATTCTAGACAAAGCATTAGGGTCTACTGAGTTCGTAAATTGTTGCTGTGATTGTTATTCGACATTTGCTTCGTTAATATAAATTTATGTAACCTATGGTTTGAAATGAATTCTGTCCGTATTCCAGAGTTGTGGATTTCAAGCTGTACGATAGACATGGCCATTAAGACACTTTTTTGGGGGTACCTAGTTGACCATGTTCTTAGTGCACTTGTATCCATGGCGAGGTGCACACGCCGTCTGGAGGTGAGAGGGTTCAATTCCCGGCACGGTAACTATAGCTTTTGATCGTTATGTTATCTAGTGTGTTCTTCTATCTTTCTACTTCTTTCTATGAGTGCCGATCAACACACTTTCTGTTACTTGATTAATTCATCATGTTATCTTTGGAACACGGGGAAAACTTACAATTAATCAATGCATTGTTTCTCCGTTGTAAATTTGAACAAAGAAGGCACAAACAAAGGACTGAGACTGCCTGGTGTGTTTCACTGTACCTCTTCAGCCTGGAACCTCGTCATCAACAATTAAATGAAAACGGTTGCCCTGTTAAAACAGACTGTTGCTTCTGGGAAGCATTTGTAATTCAGTTGCTTCGTTTTTGTTTAATTGTTACGGCCCGCTAAGTTAGTAAAACCGGTTGAAAAATCCATGTGGTCCGGTTCCACGCTCGAGGGTAGGCATAAAAGCCACATATTTCCCAGATTTACTGTTTCTTTCACGGAATCAAGGCCGAAGGGTTGCGATATCTATAGTAAAGAGCCAAAGGGTTTATAACTCCTGGTTTCTTTATCATAAAATGTGTTTAATTGTTACTGTAGTA